TCATCTTGAGGTAAGGAGAAAGGGCAGCGAGATTTGATTAGGTTCAGTACTCAATATCATTCAAAGAAGGTCGAACAAATTTAGTGGTGTAGTGGCGATAGGTAGAGACAATAGACAAGGGACATTGCACCGGATTGGTGAGGGGAAGAGCAATCGACCACTGAACTACCACCACCCGCCTTTATTTTTGACGGGATGTCCTTGATTGCGCGATGAGTGTGATTGACAATTTGCCGTGCTGACGTGCTTTTGTTGGAGCAAATATGCATTGCGAAGTCCCACCGTCTTTTTGGGTGGTACTAGTTAACCACAGGAGCTCTGCTTAACATTCATTTCTTTCTTTTATGAACGTAGAGCCTCAGCTTGCCTTGAGTACCTCTAGTGCCTGCAGACCTGGAAGGATAATTTGGACAATTTGAGACTTACAAAGTTGATTAATTTTAAGCAAGATTTGACATTTCGGCCGAAGTGTCACTCGGTGTTGACAGTCTTTTACCATTTGGATTCATGATATAAGAAGGGACTTCTGGTATTCGTGATTGCTGCGATGTTATAACCTAGAAGTGGGACGGTGATAACTTGGCTCACCTGTAAACAGACTGTCTCAGAGGTACTCAGACAATGGTAAAAAGCTCTTGGCTTGATTTCAATTCGCCGACAATAACACTGAATGCGCTGTTGCCAGTGTCCGCAATAACCTTTAAATTTGGAACTTTAAAAGAAAATCTTTTTCTGAAATATCCCTAATGTTATTTTATTCACACAAGAGTAACTGAGACAACACTTCGCGAATACTTTTTTTCTAAAATGTGCATATTTTAGGCAAAGTTGCAGCATTAACACACCTTACTGCAATATGGTTCTTCTTTTTATGACAAGACCACTATTACTCACTACCCTCACTTGTGAGGTTTCACTAATAACAGCATTTTTAAAAATACAATAATTTATATCACAAATTTGCTGTGGTCGGGGAAGTTCGACCTCCACCAGTTGCGCATCTTTCTTGGCGGCGTGCCAGAAGGTAATGCCCATGTTCTTTTTTTCCGTTCTGTACCCTAACTACAAATCACACTACTAGAATTGTAGGCATCATTACAATTTCAGGGAAAAGGCTTACATCGGTCAAAGTTCCCAAGAAAAGGACAACCTATAAGAACGAGATTTTAACCAAAAGTTTCGTCTGATGTATCGCTCGGCAAAGTTCATTGTTTAGGTCGGTTGAAGAGAAAACCAATCGACGCGACAGGAACGGTGCAGGCTACCACAACATCGCAGCACGACAAACTTCTCCGAAAGTATTACAAAAAATTTGTCTTCCTAATTTTGAAAAGTTGCTTTACTTTTTACGCTGCTCGATAGGCAATTGTCAGGGATTGTTTTACATTTGGAAAAAAGAGTAAATAGCGTTTTTTCTACAAGTCAATTTAAAGATATATGGAAATTGAGTCAGGTAGTAAAAAATCACCTCAAAACGGGCATGATGAACAGAAAGGGCTTCCCCCGAATAGGCAATATTGCGGAATGAAAGCTCAACACACAAGAGAGATTTATATAATATTTCTAAAAAGATCCTGAATTCAGAAGATTACCAATTGATAAATATTTCTGCATTAGCGGACTCAAAACGGAATTGACATTAAACTCGTATGAAGAAAAGAGAAAGAAACACATCAACTCACCTTAATTGGCCATTAAGTGAAGCCTTTCGATCCAAAGTCCTGGCGGCACAATGCGACTGGAAACCCGGGTCATCGGTGTGCGCAAATGCTATCTCTGGATCGGATTCCCTCCGATTCCTTCAAACTAACCTTCTCGGATTGGTGAGGGGAAGAGCAATCGACCACTGAACTACCACCACCCGCCTTTATTTTTGACGGGATGTCCTTGATTGCGCGATGAGTGTGATTGACAATTTGCCGTGCTGACGTGCTTTTGTTGGAGCAAATATGCATTGCGAAGTCCCACCGTCTTTTTGGGTGGTACTAGTTAACCACAGGAGCTCTGCTTAACATTCATTTCTTTCTTTTATGAACGTAGAGCCTCAGCTTGCCTTGAGTACCTCTAGTGCCTGCAGACCTGGAAGGATAATTTGGACAATTTGAGACTTACAAAGTTGATTAATTTTAAGCAAGATTTGACATTTCGGCCGAAGTGTCACTCGGTGTTGACAGTCTTTTACCATTTGGATTCATGATATAAGAAGGGACTTCTGGTATTCGTGATTGCTGCGATGTTATAACCTAGAAGTGGGACGGTGATAACTTGGCTCACCTGTAAACAGACTGTCTCAGAGGTACTCAGACAATGGTAAAAAGCTCTTGGCTTGATTTCAATTCGCCGACAATAACACTGAATGCGCTGTTGCCAGTGTCCGCAATAACCTTTAAATTTGGAACTTTAAAAGAAAATCTTTTTCTGAAATATCCCTAATGTTATTTTATTCACACAAGAGTAACTGAGACAACACTTCGCGAATACTTTTTTTCTAAAATGTGCATATTTTAGGCAAAGTTGCAGCATTAACACACCTTACTGCAATATGGTTCTTCTTTTTATGACAAGACCACTATTACTCACTACCCTCACTTGTGAGGTTTCACTAATAACAGCATTTTTAAAAATACAATAATTTATATCACAAATTTGCTGTGGTCGGGGAAGTTCGACCTCCACCAGTTGCGCATCTTTCTTGGCGGCGTGCCAGAAGGTAATGCCCATGTTCTTTTTTTCCGTTCTGTACCCTAACTACAAATCACACTACTAGAATTGTAGGCATCATTACAATTTCAGGGAAAAGGCTTACATCGGTCAAAGTTCCCAAGAAAAGGACAACCTATAAGAACGAGATTTTAACCAAAAGTTTCGTCTGATGTATCGCTCGGCAAAGTTCATTGTTTAGGTCGGTTGAAGAGAAAACCAATCGACGCGACAGGAACGGTGCAGGCTACCACAACATCGCAGCACGACAAACTTCTCCGAAAGTATTACAAAAAATTTGTCTTCCTAATTTTGAAAAGTTGCTTTACTTTTTACGCTGCTCGATAGGCAATTGTCAGGGATTGTTTTACATTTGGAAAAAAGAGTAAATAGCGTTTTTTCTACAAGTCAATTTAAAGATATATGGAAATTGAGTCAGGTAGTAAAAAATCACCTCAAAACGGGCATGATGAACAGAAAGGGCTTCCCCCGAATAGGCAATATTGCGGAATGAAAGCTCAACACACAAGAGAGATTTATATAATATTTCTAAAAAGATCCTGAATTCAGAAGATTACCAATTGATAAATATTTCTGCATTAGCGGACTCAAAACGGAATTGACATTAAACTCGTATGAAGAAAAGAGAAAGAAACACATCAACTCACCTTAATTGGCCATTAAGTGAAGCCTTTCGATCCAAAGTCCTGGCGGCACAATGCGACTGGAAACCCGGGTCATCGGTGTGCGCAAATGCTATCTCTGGATCGGATTCCCTCCGATTCCTTCAAACTAACCTTCT